CTCGTGCTCTTCCAGTCCTTCAGAGGCGAAGATGGAAAACCGTACCGATCACACGCAGGGACCAGGAGGAGGCGACGCGAGCAACGGAAATGTGCCTTACCTGCAGCCGAACTCTCTACCTCACAACCGCACAGCTGCCGGTCAGCCGAGTACCAACAGCACCTGGAGTCCAAGTCCTGCAGAAGAAACGTGGAAGAGCCAGCAGCTCAACACTAACACTCAGGTTACAAATGAACAAACAGCCACTCACTCACTCTTGGATTGTGTTGTAAATATTTTATTATTATTATTATTATTCAGCATCTCACTGAAAACATCTTTTTTTTTTTACTCCAGGGGCTTGAAAAAGGTCCTGGTTCACGTTTGGCAGGTCCCAATGGAGAACCTCCTTTTTCTTCTTCGTCCTCTTCGTCTCCTCAGACCTCCTTCTTTTCCTCTGCTGTTCTGAATCAGGTCGGACCCTGCACTGCCTCCTCCTCGGCCTCCTCGTTATCCCCCGCCTCCCCTCAAACCACGCCCAATCGCCTCTCCTCGCCCTCCCACTCTGTTCCTACCTCAGGGGTCCACACCAAAGACACTTTACCTTGGGAGGGCGGCAGCGACAGCAGCGCTCCTGCCGCTTTGTCCTCCGGTCAGGAAGCTGCAGGCAGGTCTCCGGGGAAACAACCTCACCCCTTGACTAATCACATTAAGTCTCAATCTCGGCCTGGATCTCCTGTGCCCGCGGTCCTCACCTCAGACAATCTTCAGCTGTCAGCCTTGACAAAGGGAAGGCCCAGTTCCACCTGTATCAAAGATACCAATAACAACCACGGAGAGGTACATTTACTCTACCAGGTGCACCGGGGCGCCACCAAGGCAGACTCAGAGCACTCGGTGGCGTCGTCAGATGCTGCCAGGCCCTCGACAACATCCTGCCTTAACACCCATTCCAGCAGCGGGCCCACAGTAAATGGGCAGCTTTCAGAAAACTCCCAAGAGCTAACCAGGGTGGAGACACTTGGAGGATCTCCCAGATGCAGCGCCCCTGCTCATCTTACGTCTTGGTCATCATTTTCCATCTATCCCAGTTCTAGTGAAGTTCTCAAAGCCTGCAGGTGAGAAGGGGTTTTTTTTTTTTTTTTTTGGGAACCAGAAAATAAACCATAAACTGATCTAGATTTAGCTAGCTGTAGGTGTGCTAACTGCAAACAGCCTATAAGGAGCTAAAAGTTTAGCAAGAAGCTACTCTGTTGCTTTTCTGGTGTCACGTCGTCTTCCCTTGTCAATATAAAAAGTCATTAAGAACCAGGAAATTATTGTTAGTACTGTTATATTTGTTATTGTCA